TATTCATTTATATTCTAATACTAATTTCCCTTTCTATTTTTATATATAATAAAAAATAAATTTCTTGTTCTTCTCAGCAATGTACACCATTGAGTTTCAGAAAAGAGGTCTGCCACATGCACATATCTTGCTTTTCATGGAGAAAGGTTCTAAATTTCCATCTCCTAATGATATTGATAAGATTATATGTGCTGAAATCCCTGATAAAATAGTAGATCTGGAATTATACGAAATTGTTAGCGATGTTATGATTCATGGACTATGTGGTGCTGCAAAAAAGGATAATGTTTGTATGGTAAATGGTAAGTGCTCAAAGAGTTTCCCAAAGCTCACCAAAACAAGTATTTCCATTGATGCTAATGGATTTCCAGCTTATAGGCGTCGTGTTGATCAGAGATTTGTAGAGAAAAATGGAATTAAACTTGATAACAGATATGTAATTCCATACAACAAGGATCTAATGCTATGTTATCGTGCACATATGAATGTTGAGTGGTGCATACAAACAAGAGCTATCAAGTATCTATTCAAATATATCCACAAGGGTCTTGATTACTGTTCACTAGCAATCGAGAATGATGATGATGTCGATCAGATTAATGACTACATGCTTTCAAAATTGCCAGGTTATATTTGAAAACTATTTTCATCTTCAGTTCTATTTTAGAATGTTTTGTTATTTTATATTCACATGGTTTTTTTGCAACATCAAATTTACTTATTTTAATTACAAAATTAATAGAATAACCATTTTATCATAGGTTTGTTAGAATAAACCTCGAATATCTTATCATATATTTTTTCTTTGGTTTACTTTCGTAAATATAAGTACCATATAATATATTGCATTCATAATGTACATGCCACCAAATATTTTAAACGGTAACTTTAGTTAAGACTATCATACCATTTTGTTTATTTCTGTTTAAGTTTGGTTAGAAAAATATGAAAATATTTTTTTAACTTCTATTTAAAATAATAATGTTTATAGAATATCACTGTAGTCATAATAAACAGATTAGAATTCTAAATTTTTTTTTATCTTTTTCAAATTGTTTTTATGGGTTTCTTTGTATGTTCACAACTGATCTTTTTATTATTTAAATATCTCAAGTGATGAGAAAGTATACCTGAGCTCTGACAGCATAATTCCTTCAGATACAGATACATTGAAAAAGGTGGACTACCCAACTGAGTTTTTGAATAGCATCAAAGTTTCCGGATTACCGAAGCATTGCTTAAAATTAAAGGTTGGTGCTCCTGTCATGTGTCTTCGTAACATAGATCCTAAGGGTGGAATATGCAATTGAACTAGACTTATTATTACTCAAATGGCTAGACATGTGGTTGAAGGTAGAATTATAACAAGAAATGAGAAAATGATTGGTCAGGTAGTTCTAATCCCTAGAATGTATGTGACACCACCAGATACAAGATTTCCTTTCAGAATGCGTCGTAGATAGTTCCCTTTGGCTTTAGCTTTCGCAATGACTATCAACAAAAGCCAAGGACAATCATTTGAGAATGCCGGTTTGTTTCTACCTAAACCAGTTCTCTCTCATGGACAGCTATATGTTCCATTATCTAGAGTTAAGTCTAGATTTGGACTTAAAGTTCTCATAACAGACAAAGAAAGAAAAGTGCAAAAGAAAACTACGAACGTCGTCTATAAAGAAGTGTTTCAAAATCTTTCTTAATTTTATGCTTTTGATATTTTTAGAAAATTTATATGTTTTAATAGTTTCAGTTTATTTAGTTATTATATTTACATTTTTTATTCTAAGGAACCATTTTATATTCTTGATTAATATTTTTTATCAAGAATTTTCTATTACGATCTATACTATTTTCAATTTCAGTTATTATTAATTTTATTATTAAATAATCATACTATTTTATTATTAATATATAATTAATTATATAAATACAGATTTTATCAATATATAATATTAATTATATAAACATATAAAATATTTTATAGTCTGCATACAGTGCGGACCGATCACCTGGTAATAATTAGATGTAAACACAAATCAATCAAGAAAACAATCAGAAAAGGATAAAGAATAGGAATAAAATCATTTATAACTTCTGATGCCATTCACTGAGGAAGCAAATAAAAAAATAAAAAATATAACTATCATAATTTAATAATTAACATTCTAACCAGAAACCCTAAAAATTGACTATTTAATCTTTTTCTATACTATACTATATGTTCAAACCAAATATAATAATTACAGTACACAAATAATAAGTATAGTATTAGTATAAAATGACATAATTTGGACACACGGAGAAAAGGAAGGGGAGAAGAGATGACGGAGGAGGTGAGACCAATGAAGATTTTAAAAAGAGAGATAGTTTAGTATATATATATATATATTGTAAAATATATATAAAATTAGGTATGCACTCATGTGTAGCACGGATTTTTAATTTAAATTATTAAATTGATGTTATACTTTTTAAATTTTTCTTATAAAATAAATTAATACTTTTTATTTTGTTTTGAAAATATAATAGTTATTTTTATTAAACACCAGAAATTAATTAACTTTGAACACTAATCTAATATTGTAATAGCCTAACTAGGTAATAACCCACATCCTGTGCAGGATGATATAATTATTATTTATTTAAATTTAGTATAATATTTTTATATATATTTAATTACTTTTGACTCTTAAATAATAAATAAATATTATTATTTAAATAATTTGTTACTTATCTACTATATCGAATGAATTAAAAAGACACAATTTTTGTATTTTTAATCTGAAAAACAGAAAATATATCCATAAATTTTTCTTTGTAAAAGAAAAGAATAATTATTGACTCCAAAAACTTTTTATCAAAAAATATTATCTAAAATATAATAATAAAGCATAACTGAATATGTGATAATTAGTAAATTGGGAGTATAGTGTATACATAATAAAGTAGAATATTAAATTTAAGATGTAATATAGTTAGAGTTTTGATGCGTTTTTGCTACGATTGATTATATAAAAAAATGTGACAAATAAAATATATTATAATTAGCTTCTATAAAAATATTGATGCTTATCTATCTTATATATTATTTTTACTCCAAATAAGTTTTAGACATTGATGAATTATTAGACAAAAGTGTCTTTATATTTTCTACTCTAAATCTTTGAATGTATATATCTAAATTAACAAAATAAATTTGAATCAATATATTACTTATATATAAATTATATTAGTGAATGCGCCATAAATTAAATTACTTATATTATTAGTATAGATCAAACACATTAAATTTCATTTTCATTAATAAATTCTCAGTTAGCTTATAATTATATTATATTAAATATTATATAATATTTATTGTGTACTAAATTCTGGAAAGAGACTAAATTATGAGCTAATTGAAAATTTATTTTTGGAAAGAGGCAATTAAATCGAATTATAATTATTTACTTTGATTTCTAATGACTATATTGAATTCAAATTACAATCAACTTTTATAATGATTATAATGAACTTAAATTATAATGATTTATATTTATTTATTAAATAATTTGAGTAATTTATATTCAATTTTTAAAATTTAAATTATAATACATGTACAAAAAAATTTATCTATTTTTATTATATAGATGATGTGATAATATATTTACTTTACAAAAGTAAGTTTAAATAAAGATACGAGAAAATAGATTTTTGGTAGAAAATATAATTAAAGAAATAATTAATATAATATATTTTTGGTAAGAAATAAAAGAAAGATAATATCTTAATAAATTAAATGTTGATTTATAAAATGAAACATAACATATATATGAACGTAAAATATATAATGACATATCATGTAACTAGTATAGTAATCCAAGTCTTTTAAAACAATTAACCGAAAATAAATGTGGGATTGACACATCAGTATAATAGCACCACTGTAAATATTTACAAAAATGAGATTACTCTTTAAAAATACTTCTCAATTAATATATAGGGGATATACAATTTATTAAATGGGATTTAGTTATCTATAGATTTATAAATTTAGTGCAGCAAGCATCAAATAACTTTCGCATTTCCGTAAGCCAGTAAGTAAAAAATAATACTAGAAGATATATTAGCAAAACATTAAGCAAATGTTTTTGAGAACGGGCCTTCATATTTAAAGCGAAAGAAAGAAAAGTTTTACAAGCCTAGTCAAGGCTAGAGTGTTATGGGCTTCACCCAGTAGAAAAGCAACAAATAAGCTAAGACCAAGCCCAGCCAAATAAAACGACACATTGAGATAATCTTGAACCCGATTTGGAAGTGGAGGAAACCGAATCATCTTCACCAAACACGAAGATGCGAAGAGACCTGCAGACCAATTCGATGAGAAGTAGAAATCTCCAAAGGCACGATTAGTGTTGCACTTGGAGAATCGATAATGGTTTACGGAGGGGCGGTGGATAACCAAAGTTGGAGAAGCTTCGAAGCAAGAGGTGGATTTGATTCCCTGAAGCTTGAGATTCTATTCCTTACGAGATGATCTATTTGATCGACGATGGAGTCTGAAGTCCGAAAGCTCTGACGATGCAAGCGATTATTTCACTCCGAACAGGAGTAATAGATTACAGATTGCCAAGTAATGAATGCCAATCTTCTGCGCATTTTACCGCCAGGCAGTGAAATCAATTGAAGAACTAAGCTGTCCCAGGATCTTTCCGGAGCCATAGAGAGTATATTTGCATTCAAAGAAAAGATGCTCCCGGCTCTCAGGCGCAGAGCTGCAAAGAAGACAAGTAGGGTGTCACAAGCCCCCAACTGAGTATTCGGTCCTTCGTAGGACACCGATTCAACATAAAAAGTCATGTCAGAAAACTGTGTTTCAGAATCCCACCCTTATTCCAGACAATACAATCCCAAGGGACTGTTGGTAAAGCTTCTCTCAACAGCCTATAAACTTCCCCTGTTGAGTATCGTAGACATGGTTGACCATTTAAAACCCAATCATAAGAGTCTTCTTCCTCTGTAAGATGCAGTGTAGTTAGAAAGCTTTGAAGCTCCACCTGATTCTCGGATCTAGCAGGAGGCAGAATCCAATTGCCAAGATGATGGAGGCTAGAAACAGTTGCGTTCAACGGGATTCCCATCCGAAAGATCCTAGAGGTGGATATCAAGAAGGAGTCCAATCGACCAAAAGGGGTCCAATTGTCAGACCAGAATCTAGTGGAATTTCCATTACCAATATTCCGCCTTATCCAGGTAAACCAACTCTTTATACTTCAGAAGCTTGTTTGCAAGCCAAGAGAACTTAGGTTGGGGCTTTTTTAACCAGTAATTATTCAGGCTACCATCAAGGATCTCTTGTTTATACCAAGCCACCCAAACTGAACCAGGCTGGAAGAACAGTAACCAAATCAGTTTGAGAACGCAAGCTTTGTTCCACACTGTAAGATCCCTCACTCCTAAGCCACCCTCTTTTTTTGTCCGAGTTGCCTTTTCCCAAGAGACACGTGCAGAATGGTTTCTTTCCGCGGTTTCCTTCCAAAGGAAAGCACTACAAATGGAGTGTATTTTCTCAATACACGCTTTTGGCAGGACAAAGGTGGAGCACCAGAAGTTGAAAATGCCTCCAATGACTGTCTTTATGAGTTGAAGCCTAACAGCAAAAGACAGAGACCTAGCACTTCAACAGGTAACTCGCCCCCTAACTTACTGAAGTAGAGTTTCACAGTTTAAGATATTAAACTTTTTTGTGCACAACGGAACCCCTAAATATTGGACATGCAAGTTGCCATTTTGCATTCCAGTGGAGAAGGAAATAGTTTCAATCTCTGCGTGAGAGAGACCCGAGGAGAAGAAGCATGTCTTCTGAATGCTCATCGACAAACCCGATCGAAGCTCAAATTCATGGAGAACTTGGAGAACATTTTGCACTGAGGAGAGGGAACCATCAATAAAGATCAGTAGATCATCCGCAAAACACAAGTGAGTGAGACCTGACTTTTCACACTTTGGATGATACTTGAAACGATTCTCTTCCGCTGCCTGATTTAACATATGTGAGAGACAGTTTATAGGTATGATAAAAAGGTAGGGAGATAAAAGGTCTCCTTGTCTTAGTCCTCGTTTACTCTTGAAGTAACCATGCACTTTTCCATTGTAACCCACCGTGAAATGAGGAATAGTGATGCAAGTTCTTAACCAGTTGATGTATTGATTTGGCATCGATAGACCCAATAGGCAGTTGAACAAGAAATCCCAAGATAAACAAATGTTCAAAAGAAAAAGATATATTAGCAAAACATTGCCCTTCCTCTATTGTATACTTCTATTTTTATTCGTGTAATAACGGTTTACTACATGATGATTTCAGAAATTCACATTAATAATAATAATACAATAGATGTTACGTAGAAAAATATTGGAAGATACAAACAACGTCGTTAGCAATTATTTGACAATTTTGCCCTTGAGTATCCACCTAGAAGCGAGACATGATCTAATATACCTTTCTCTCTCAAATTATAATCTCTTATATCCCTCAATAATCTACATACCCCTCTTATCAATGAATTACCGATTTTACCCTTAATGAATTTAATCAGAATTTTTTTTTTTATAAAAAATCCCACTCTCTCTCCTTCACCCATAACCCACGACGAACTCTCCTCTCTCTTCTTCCATTGTTGTCGTCGCCGTCGCCGTCGCCGATCTGGATCTTCCGAGCTCGTTTCTCCGCCGTCGCCATTCTGGAGCCGTCAGAAGCTGTAGTGAATGCTCAAATGTTTTTTAAATTAAGGTAAACTATGTGTTTAAAGATTTGAAAATCAAATACTCAAATGCTCAAATGCTTCTTTGGATATAGTGTGTTTTAGCATGATTTATGGGTTGATTATGACTATAAATTGATAATAAATAGATTGTATGGGTTGAATTGAGTTAAATCGTATTCAATTGTAGATTAGAATGAATTGAACATGAAATCCAATTTGAGTTCATGCGAAGAACTACTGGGTAGAACTAGGCATTACTAATAAATGTATAACTATGGATAACTAGTCACTTGTATCACTAGTTAATAAAGTATAACTTGGTACATCTAGGTATTACTGAGTGTATAACTGTGGATAACTAATCACTATTATCACTGATTAGTAATGTATAATTTGGTACAACTAGGTATTACTGACTATATAACTGTGGATAACTAGTCACTAGTATCACTTATTAGGAAAGTATAACTTGGTACAACTGAGTATTACTTATTGTATAACTGTGGATAACTAGTATTACTATCACTGATTAATAAAGTATAACTTAGTACAACTAGGTATTACTTATTGTATAACTGTGGATAACTAGTATTACTGATTGAGTTTTTGTATTGTTTTGTCAGGATACAATGAGTAACAACAGCATCATACATTTTAAATGCAAAGGTCGGCAATATAATATATTATTGAAGACACCAATGACGGAGGTAACTTTGGCGTTGATAGAAGCTAGAATATGCAAAAAGGTTGATTTAGATGAAAGTATGGTGAAGTTGAAATTGAGTTACACTCCACTGCTGGTGGGACATGAGGAAGAGTGGATTATTTCTGATGATGAGGATCTTTGTGTTTATCTGACCTCCATTGATGATGAGAATCGTATATGTCTTCTGCATGTGGAGGTCATCACTATTTCAGAAGAGCTGTCAGATAAGCTTTCGAAAGCGAGAGATAAAAGTTTTGGTGGTGTGAACTATGATGAGTTGCATTCGAAGGATGATGAAGTTGCAGATAATGCCATGATTGTGTACAACCAACAAGCAGAGCAACAACATGAGGCGATAGAGAAGGATGATGAGACTAGAGAGGGTGATGAATCTGTGGATATGCACAATGAATATGGTGAGTTGCGACATGTTGTAGAAGCTACTCAGTTTATGGAGGCATGGGACGACGGTGTGGGTCTATATTTACATCAAAAATTTCCAAATAAGAAGACAGTGCAGGATTTGGTGGATAGAGGCTCATTTGTGAATTGTTTTGATTTTGCTATAGAGAAGTCAGATAAGGTCCGATTAGTGTTGAAATGCCGTCAAGGAAGCTGTAGTTGGGGTTTACGAGCTGCAAATATTAAAGGTACATATTTTTCTCGATTAGAACGTATTGTAAGATGCATACATGCTCTCGGGCTAGTCAGAGTTCAAGCAGCCAGAGGAGGAAAGGCACACCACGATTAGTTGCATCTCTTTTGCATGATGATTATCCAGGCCAAATGGACACTCCGGCTCCTAAAAGTATCATGCATCTTGTTCAGACAAAAATTGGCGTGAGAGTATCATACTCCACTGCGTTGTGAGGAAAAAACCAAGCTGTTTCTGATTTGCGTGGTAATCCAGAAGACAGCTACAAGATATTGTATTGTTAATTGTACATGCTGGAAAACGCCAATCCAGGTACAATAACAAGGCTGAGGTTGGATGAAAATGGAAAATTCAAGTATCTATTCATTGTTTTGGGAGCTAGCATAGAAGGGTTTAAATGCATGAGGAAAGTGATAGTTGTGGATGCAACTTTTATGAAGAACGGGTTTGGTGGTGTACTAGTTTTTGCTTCAGCTCAGGATCCTAATCGGCATAATTACCTTATAGCCTTTGTTGTACTCGATGGTGAGAATAATGCTAGTTGGATCTGGTTTTTCGAGATGCTTAAATCTGTTGTGGCGGACACTTCCGAATTGGTATTTATGAGTGATAGAAATCTAAGCCTCATCAACGCCATAGCTAATGTGTATCCGAACTCTCATCATGGTTATTGCGTATGACATTTATCCCAAAATGTGAAAGGTCATGCTTCTAACGTCAATAAAGATGTGATCGCTTGGAGATTCATGGAGTGTAGTAGGTTTTAACGGTGGCTGAGTTTGAGCGTGCTTATAGTCATTTCCAGATGAGATATCCTTCTGCAGCAAGATCCGCAACGCTTAGCAGCGCGGCGTTAAGCGCCTTTGGATCGGCGCTGATCTTGGCTCTATTGCTTCGATTTGTGTAGCACCACTAGCTCCCAATCATGAGTCACTGCTCCTGGATATTTACTCGAAATCGTCGCTGGATTTGGGGAGAAAAATATGATTAAGCATATCAATAAGCGGAGGAAAAGAAAATAACTAGGATTCCCTTAGTAACGGCGAGCGAACCGGGAAGAGCCCAGCTTGAAAATTGGACATCTTTGGCGTTCGAATTGTAGTATGGAGAAGCGTCCTCAGCGGCAGACCGGGCCTAAGTTCCCTGGAAAGGGATGCTAGAACGTTCCCTATTGGTGGGTGAACAATCCAACACTTGGTGAATTCTGCTTTACAATGATAGGAAGAGCCGACATTGAAGGATCAAAAAGCAACGTCGCTATGAACGCTTGGCTGCCACAAGCCAGTTATCCCTGTGGTAACTTTTCTGGCACCTCTAGCTTCAAATTCCGAAGATCTAAAGGATCGATAGGCCACACTTTCACGGTTCGTATTCGTACTGAAAATCAGAATTTCCATTTAATTTTGATCGATACTATATTTTGTTTTTTTAACATTATTTTCTTTTTTATTTGGTACTTAAGCTTTTTTTATTTTGACTTTTTCATCTATAAAACAAAATTAATATTTTAAAAAATTACAAATTAAACTTTAAATATTTTAATCATATTTTATTTTAGACATCAAGTTAATTTGCTTTTATAATACTGATTGTTTTATTACTTTAACTATTTTATATTAAATTTGTATTTAAATTTGAGGAATACTATAGTTTATTTAATATAATTTTCTTTTCTATTTGTTATTTTAACTTTTCTATATATAAAAAAATAAAAAAATTTATTTTTTTGTCAATTAATCTAAGTGTTAGAAAGGTTCCTAATCTATATTGTAAGTTTTAGCTTTTAATTTATTGGTTTTTTTGTTAGTTTAAATTTGATGATATTTCATTTAATTTTTGAAGGATACTATATTTTGGTTTTTTAACTTTATTTTCTTTTCTATTTGTTACTTAAGCTTTTTTTATTTTAATTTTTATATCTATAAAACGAAATTAATGTTTTAAAAAATTAGAAATTAAATTTTTAATGTTTTAATTATATTTAACATTTTTGTGTTTAATGAAAAACGCTAATGTGGACCAATCATATTGAGTTTCTTTGTTCTATGTGGTTTCTCCCATTGACCAAAGACTTCAACTTTTAAATAGAATAGACTAGGTTTATCACTTGCGCTACGCGCACAAGTCCGTATTTATAGTTTGATTTAATTCTTTTTTAGCTACTATCTTTTAAATTATCAAAACTATAATATATTTATAAAAAAATTTCATATAATAGAATTTAAAATATAAATTGTAACTTTTTCCTATTTTTATTTATAAATTTACAAATCTTATTAAGTAAATAATAACAATGACACCTATCGAATTATCCAACTTTGATGCACACATACATTTGATTTAGAAAAAGTTTTTCTTGCTAAGATCTTGAAGTTTTGTTTGGTTTTCCATAGGATTTCTACAATTAAATATTTAGTTTTTTTTTTAATGTCTCATTGATGTTGTGTATCTATGCATATATAATCCATGATTCATGTTTATATGCATTTAGTTTTGTTAGGAAACTGCAATGATAATGCAAAGCCGTTTCTTGCTTCTCCACCAGGTTTTCCACGAGTTTTTAGATTATATTTTTATTCAGTTTTTAAGATCTAATCTAATATTTGATAATTTTAGTTTTGAAACTTGTAGGATTAGTGGTGTGGAGTCTTTGCATTATTTTACAGATCTTTTGTGTGCTTTCTGCATGTTTTGATTTGAATATATTATCTACATACACTAATTTATATTTGATTCATAACTCTGTCATACTTTATTATGCTTTGTTGTTGTTAATTTTCAAAAATGGATAGATATAGACATCAAGATAATTTCTTTTACACGAATAAGTTTTCTTCGTTAATTTTTTTCATTATAATTATAATGCTGATTTGGCATGTTGTTAGAGATGAGATTCGTACCATCTCTAAAAGCCCGATATGACATCTGGTCGGCCCATCTTACAAGGTTCAGGTCGGCATAATAAATGGAAACCTTCCATTAATCAAGCGAACCCGGAAAAAACAGAAGTTTAGTCTTATCGGCAGGAAAACTTTCCTATTCCGAACATACATAGAAGACCGACCTGATCGGCTATAAATACGGGAAGTCCTCGACTTCTCAGATCATCCAAAAATACTCACGAGACCTAGGGTAAACCAGCAATATCGATTGTTCTTGGTCTCGATTCACTTTCCTTAAAAGTTTAGGTCGGCGTTCTCATTCCGACGACCTAAACCACCGTGTATTCTCTCAAGCTCCGGCTTTAATCTAATAAAGATCTCTCTTTAAACCCACAAACTCTTGTTCATTCTATAGATCGAATTTGAGTTTTCACAGTTGGCGCCGTCTGTGGAGAGTACTCTGCGTCGTAGACTGCCGACGTTGATCTCTACTGGGACCATTGCTTCGCACCCGTATGCAAGTGAAAAAGGAGTTTTCCCGGTTGCTATTCGTGGAGTTGTGCGATGAGACCAAAGTACGCCGTCCAGCTCGTCGGCCCAAAAACCTTTCTTGGCATTGAAGCGCTTTTTAATGCCATCCAGGATAGTCTTGTTAGTAGCTTC